GCCTTACCTGATTCCTAGACCTAAGAGACGTGCATATATTACCTGTACGGTGCCTTACCTGGTCCGTAGACCTAAGAGACGTGCATATATTACCTGTACGGTGCCTTAACTGGTCCCTAGACCTAAGAGACGTGCATATATTACCTGTACGGTGCCTTACTTGGTCCCTAGATGCATATATTACCTGTAGGTGCCTTACCTGGTCCCTAGATCTAAGAGAAGTGCATATATCACATGTACGGTGCCTTACCAGGTTCGTAGACCTAAGAGACGTGCGTGCATACATTTCCTGTACAGTCAATTGAAGCATGAAGAGCGGCCGAAACTAGAGCAGAGCTTCTACCCGGCTTGGACAACTTTTAATAATCTGCTCTTTCCTTGTCCCTACACCTAAGAGCCGAACCTGTACAGTGTCTTACCTTGTCCCCAGACCTAACATCCGTACATATATTACTTGTACAAGGAGGTATCGCTGGTCTTTCGAGGTATAGCTGGCTTAAAAGCCGGACAACCGACAGCACAAATCGCCGAGGTCACCTATGGGTGAAACTACAGTGTTTCCGTCGTTCAACTAAGTTAACCAATAGAATGGCACCATTCTACACCGCACTGAACCATCCTACATAGCTGACCAATGGCAGCGTGGCTCTTCACCGTGGCTGACCGCCGTAAATAACGACCTGCGATACCTCAACATAGACCAAAAGACCACCATGTTGGACTACACGACTACGAATAAGGGGGTACTTTGCTTTTTTAAACAATTGTAATCGAATGGTGCAGTGTAAAAGAAGGACTACCAGTATGTGTTAACAGTCATTATACTCAGAGGTATAATTGTAACGTTACATATATTTTGTAGAAATAGACGATCTTTCTTTCAAAAGGCAGTTCGGGATACAACCCTTTTTTGTGAATGGTAGAGTCTTAAGTAATTACGCAATCGTCGTCCCAGAGGGAGGCTCATGTTTCCCGAAACTAAATGCAAAGCAAACACCGGATCCCCATCCGCTCAGGATTTCTCACGTTAGCAAACTCGAGAAGTTATCAAAGCAAATATGGTTTTACACGTCACGATTCTGGTAAGCTTCATATCAGGGTTCGCTTTTTCTGTTGGAAAAAAAAAGATGAAAATTAATTGGTTTCCTGATAGCTCCATGATCCTCCATGGTTTTCCCAAGGAGGTTTAAAATCAATTTTTTTAACCTTCTTGGTTTTCCTAATTTCTCTCTTTTCTGGTAGGTGAATCTGTGGTATAAAAAAAACAGCAACACTGGTCTAAAATCCTAAATGATCCTTTGATGTGAAATACGTTGTTCCCTTCTGCATGCCCGAAGCGAGGGGTGGCTTCTGTCACGTCTGAACCAACAGTCGCCAGTTGTTGTTTTGTCCACTTGCGTGCAGGCATGTCAGGCACGGAGGCTTGTTTTCAGTCTTCGGCCAAAAATGGTAGGGCGAGAATATCCTCTGAGGGCAGATTAGGGTATTCCAGGACAATGAGACACATCAAATACGATGTTGTACAGCTAAAAAGATCTCACATCCTCCCAGATCTATGAGTCTTTTCTTTCATGTGTTAGATATGAACTGTTCTGCTCATTCTAAACATTGTACAACTCTGAATAGGAATCGATGAGCTCTTGTAATCGCATTGCAGAAAGCTCCATACACACCCTCTTGACAGACGACAGTTGCCGCCCAGCTTTGATTGAGCACGCATGGTGTACGAGAAACTGCGTCGGAACAGAAGCCTACATAACTGTTCTGCAGATAAAATACTGTATCCTAGTCATTCCAGAGTACACAAAAACAAGGTAGGTGTCATTCTGTTGTCACTTGGCATCCATGCATGCACTGTGAGACATTACAATATATACTGAGCAGTGCCTAGCTTGGTTTAGTCATCACATTCCCAGAGCTATCTGTGGAATTCCGCCCGTAATCTCTGACCTCGATGTCACGTGAAATCTATCACGTTGCCTTGGGTGCGAGCTAGACACGAAGTTGTGAATGATAGGAAACATAGCTTCTTTGATATTGACTGTTCAACGACTGTAGTCCCGTTTTCCCATAGCCCCAAGACAACATACTACATGTAACGTTAGATAGGTACGAAAGACACGTGTACAAGGTCGGTCATGGGGATAGCATGTCCAGACTACAGCACAGGGGACAGTCCAAATTTGTTCATGCCTGGTGTTAGCTAGACTCTCGAGCTGTGCTATTCATGTTAACTTATGGATCATCTCTTTAAACGGCAGTTACAAATCCATATGCGTAACTCCATGGTAGCCAGTCTAGTACGAGATGTAAAAATTGGATTAAATGACATTTTTCCTTTTCACCTATCGTGGATGCACTGCTTGCCCTAGTTTTTGTCAGAAGTCTCTAGGTGTTGGTTAGTTGACCGAAGAGCTCGTATTTATTGACTGTTGTTTGACGGGTCAGTGAGTGCCTGTCATGTGAGCTGGCTCCTGGGTTTACGCACGCTGTCAGGTGTAACATGATGGTCCACAGTGTTAGCTAACCACGCCCTCTTGTAGGTCTGGTCATCTTTGTGCGGGCGGCACCTTATGGAGGACAATCTTCAATCTCAGTGGTTGGTAGTACAAGTAACGTTACATGCATCAACTTTACATCGTCAAAAGCGATGACGAAAGCAGCACATGCACTTCATGGTGAGGGTGCTTTCTGGTGAACTGCCAACACAGTTATATCATTAACTCTTGTCTAGTCACTCTCACTGTAAGGAAGAGAAGTGTAGAGGATCGACCCAACGATGTACTATTTCCAAAAGCTAACCACTTTTTATATCCTTTGTGCAGAAATGGCGTACTTCCAAGCCCTCTTCGACCGGATATGTGGAGATCTCCAGCGGTCTACACAGGAAATGTCGTCAGACTTTCTGCAGCTTTCGACCAATCAGCAACGAGTCTCGTACGCCCTGAGCATCCCCAGCGTTCACGACTACATCAGGGTCAAACCCATGTTCAAGGGCAAGTCTGGCATGGAGGCAACAAAGCTTCGGGAATTCGGCAACAAGATGTTTGGTCAAAAGGACTACGAGTCGGCTTTACAGATGTACAACGAAAGCGTGCTCAGGGCACCGTTTGATCCACAAGTCAATCATTCGCACGATCACGGTGATATGAACGGGAACAGCCAGGAGCGCGCTCAGTGTGACAAACATGAGGTCACGGCGGATGATAGAAATGAATTTTCCCTTGCTTTAGCCAACAGGTCAGCTGTGCTGTTCAGTCTTGGGAAATACGATCTCAGCTTGAATGACATTGACCTTGCCCTGCGCCATGGCTACCCAGAGGAGTTGAAATACAAGTTGCACGAAAGAAAAGGACGGTGTCTTTGGAATCTTGGAAGAGATCAAGAAGCCCTCCAGAGTTTTGTAACAGCTAAGGAACACGTGACGAAGTCTCAGCTCAACAGCAAGAAGCGGAAATCGTGGAAAGCGACGGTTGATAAACAAATAGCAGAACTACAGAGATCGCCATCGTCTGAGACATCTACTGTCTCCATCACTAATATCCCTTCTGTGAGTTATGGGACAAACAACACGTTTCCTTCCCTCTCTACTGCGGTGGAAATAAGGTGAGGAGAATATTTCGTACGAGAGAAATTAAGATATTTTTTCGATTCCTTTTATTGCGTCTAGGTATGAAAGTATTGTTTTGGATAGCCGATCGTACTTCCCAAAAGTCTGAAATCTTTGCACTCAAGTTTGTTCGTTAATCATGAGGTGCCCACGAAAAAGCTATTGTATGATATGTACCAGAGATCAATATTGTTCTAAAATGCAGCTGTCGTCATACCTACAGGCAGAACGAACAGAGGGGTCGTCACGCCGTGGCCGCTCAGGACATCCATGTCGGGGACGTGTTGATCGTGGAGAGGCCGTACGGATCAGTCGTCTTACCGGAGCAGAGCGACACGCACTGCGATTACTGCTGCAGGTACTAGGTGGCGCACCTTCATCTCCAAGCAGATGCCAAGTTTTCTGACCGGTCATTTTTTCTGACAGTCATCTACTCCTAAGAAACCTTTAAGAAAAGTTAACGATTTTCAGTTCCAACATCCGCTTGAAGATGAGAGCGCCGCTTATCTCAGTTTGATAGATAAGTCGCTATCCATGCCGCACTATGCGAAGTCGCGATCAATTAGCGCCGTTGTACCCAGGTACCTGTTATCAGAGTCGGAGATGGTCATGCTTTTAACATTGAATCCATATCAATGATGCGTGGTGTAATCATGTATTGTCTTCCTACGATTATAGAAGGGTGTCGGCCTCGCTCCCCTGTCACCAGTGCAGCACGGCCAGATACTGCAGCCGGGAGTGCGGAGACCTGGCCTGGGCACAGTACCACCGTGTGGAGTGTCGGTACCTGGGACTCATCCATTCCGGTGGGGTAGGCGGGATGGGCCACTTGGCCTTAAGACTCGTCAACAAGACGGGATTCCGCTCTCTTCAAGACTTTGACAAGGTATTGGAAGAGAAAACTGCGAGAAAAGAAAAGGAGGCAGGAAAAGACGCCCAAGAGAGAAAATCTGAAAGCAATGCAGACTTACAATACGAAGATTTTCCAGGTTTGAATGCCGAGGGAGTGTATACAAACGACTATAACAGTGTTTACCACCTGGAGAACCATTCTGCAGAACGTAAGCCGAGTGACTTGTTCCGGAGGACGGTCATGGCGGTCTTCCTGCTGAGGATCTTACAGAACGGCGGGTTCTTCCAGGTCCCCGGGGAGGACGTGTCTGAAGAAGACCAGTTACTTATAGCTTCTCATCTGCTGAGACACCTGCAGATGATACCTTGTAACGCACATGAGGTAAGAAACTTCTCTGGAGGAAAATCTTAATTTCTGGCAGATTCAAACACAAAATAACCTAAAATTTTTAGAAACGGTAGTTGTTGTTGTTGGCGCCTCCATTATCAATACATTACGACGACAGCCATTGGTATTAATTTATGATGATCTCGTACCATATGACTGCTGCAGGTTTCTGAGTTCGAGTTCTACCGAGGGGATCCAGACCGGTGCCGGTACCTGGAGGTGGCGTCCGCCCTCCACTGCACCATGCTGGGGATGTTCAACCACTCCTGCGACCCTGTCATCAACAGGAACTTCTACGGGGATGTGCTGGTCGCGCGGGCCATCAAACCTGTCGGTAAAGGGGAAGAGGTGGGTACCCGGGGGGACAAGGCAGTTAGACGGAAATACCAATTGTGATGGGGGCTTGGAATACGTTTAATTGCGTGCGAAGTATTAATGTTAAATGGCCTAGTGCAGCATGAGAAATTTGTACAAACATATAGGGTTGAAAAGAAACGTTAAATTTGGTAAGCAACATAGTATCAAAATAATTGAAATAAATCTACGAGTTTTAAACGGTAATAGAACTTAACACGCTACCAGATAGCGGTATATGCCACCTAATTGCAATACATGCCTTTTTTCTGTACGTAGATAACCCTGAACTACAGCGTGCTGTATACCACTCAGTCCCGTATGGAGAGGCAGTACAAGCTTGCAGGGCAGTATTTCTTCAAATGCAGGTGATTTGTATATGCCTACCCTACTTATATTTATACAATCGCTTTTAAAGCGTTTGCCAGTTTTCATACCGAACCGTTAGCAACTGCACCGATGTTATATTGTAAATTAAAACTGCACCGATGCTTTACGCGACTATATCTTTTTTGGAAGACAGGAAAACTGTAGCGTACGGTTGATGTATCTGTACTGCAGTTCGTGCTGTCCGTTGTACTGAAATACCTTTCAGATGAATGTAATCATATTGTGTTACGTTTCAAGGTCCATAATGAAGATTCCATAATGCCAACAAGGCTGCTATGAGCTCGAGGAACATTTCTCATTCCATCCCAAACTAAAACCCGCCAACTTTCCACAGTTGCCAGCCGTGCGCGGAGAACTGGCCGCTGTTTTACGACATGGTGCAGGACCTGCAGCGGCGGAACAAGCTGCCCAAACTCAAGTACGCGGACACTTTGGGATAAACGACATTTGTTTTTTTTACATAAACCAAAACAAAACAAAACACAAGTTCATTTTGGAAAAGTCATAGAAGCTCTCTTTACATTTGTCATTCGCATACTGTCAGAAACAATACCAGATACATCGTACTATCATCAACTCTTTCGGCACTATGCGCATATGACCCTTCCATTTCATTTCCTCACATATGTACATACATGTACTATATGGCATGTGCTCTTGGTCATTACTTTTTCTCCTCTGTCACAGGTGCAGACAGTGCTTCTCTGTGCTGCCGGGATCTGAGGATAAAGACGTCAACAAAGTGAAGTGCGCTGCCTGTGGAGAGGACCAAGAACTGCAGGCATTAAGAACGGAGCTTGACACTATCGTTGATGACGTGTTTACTAAGGTAAGCAAACGATTTTCTATTTTTTGCGCATGCTCGCAATAGAATGGGCATAATGCTGATATGGTCTCGAAATTCATGTACCAAGCTTACCAAGTTGACAGTGATATTTTCTATCACCAGTCTGTTAAAAAAACACGTACTAGTCACATATGAATCACGCAACCTGGGCATTGGTCGTCTCTCTCTATTCTTACAGACCTTCTTTGTGAGTCATATTTGTAAATCCGGAATAATGTAATCTCATATACCTGTAGGTGGGGGTTGTTGTGACGGGAGAGGTGGAGTCCTCACTTCCGGTTCTGGAGCGCTGTCTGGAGCGGATGGAGAAGATCGTGGCAAGGCCTTATGGGTATTACGACAGCTGCCAAGAAGCCATCAAACAATGTTATGGAATAGTCGGAAACTGTAACGAGAGGACAACGCCATGATTAGTGATTCCAAAAAATGGTTTCTCTCAATGGAATAGACGTAAAATATTTAGAAATGAATAGCTGTTGACTATAGAGCAGCAGAAGAAGTGTCTACAGACTCATCATGGACTTTCGAAAGTATTGAAGGAGAGTTTTTCTATTATTGAAGAAAGTTGCAACGAAAACAATGGAACGAATTCGAAAGGTTTTCTAGTGTGCAATTTGCCTTAATCATAGCCAATATGTATCGAGTAAGAAGTACACAACAAACAAGCAAATTATGAGGCTTGTGTATTGTTACTCTATCTTGCATTTTTTGTGTAAAAACGTTCGTTATTATGTCTTAGCTATTGTTATAGAATAATTTATTTCATAAACCACAATAAACCATAATCGATCAAAGACCTAGTAGATGTAATGTCTTCGAGTTCATGATCAGAGTTCAGACATAATTCATCTTTCTTTAGGTGCTTCACGTTTTTTTTAGTGTTTGTAACTTGTTAATAGATTTGTTTTCCTGTGTAAGCATCAACTCTGAAAGCATCGTGTTTTTATACTTCCTTGTCAAGCTACAAAGGCGCGTAATACGCAGTGAAAAGTAATCTTTCACCCTGGCTGAGGTCCAGAACAGTTTGAGAGCCGATGGTAATTTTACTGACGAGGGTACGCATTACAAGGGAACACGTTGTATGTTTGCTGTAAATATGATGACATACAAGGATAACGTTAAACGTGACATTCGGTTGACCTGTTGGAGTGGGTTCCTCAAACTTTGACAATACAACAGCGCACTCTGGCGATCTTCTCGAGCACTGCAGCAAAAATACCACAATGCAACGGGGCAAACACTGCCATCTTGGGTGCCATCAAGCGTGGAGAGTCGGAAAGGCCAAAATAGTTTCGGACCTCAAGTAGGTACTTCAGGAAAAACACCCAACCCCAGAAGTTACCATATCACATTCCTGCCATGGTCAGGCCCTGACAGACAGTTTTTCAGTCACTAAAGTTGAGAAATAGCCCGTTAGTGTACCCGGAAGTGATCGCACATCTACCAGCTGGTGTGTAGTAGTCGGAGTTGTGAGCCACGTTGCACACAAAACAGCTGCCAGGTTACAGAGTTTACCTGCTGAACTCACGGCCCCAAGATGAGGCGGCTGAACAGGAAACAGACGCTGAAGGTTGTGAAGGAGATGGACGCCTTCCCCAAGATCCCGGAGAGCTACGTGCAGACCAGCACTAGTGGGGCCACAGGTCAGTGGTGAAGGGGGAGGGGGGCTTGGGGTGAAGAAAGGAGGAGGAGGGGAAACTTGTTCAGCCACTCGTGTAGAACAACGTCATGACGGCCATGTTGTCTTACACTTACAGTTGTTTTACTGTAAATAACCTACTTCGACTCAGTCTTGTGATTTTGGAAAATCATATGGGGAAGGGGACAAGATAAAATTAATTATCACAAAAAATGCATATTTTAATTCATCAAGCCAAGGACATTCTGTAAAACGTCCTTGATCAAACTTTTTAATTTGAATGTATTATTGAATAAATGAATTCCCAATTAGGCTGTTCAAAAAAAATCCTAGTGGGGTTGGGGTGGAAGCCCAACCCCCACACACCTGTCCAGCAATTTGCAAATGTATGCTAATGTTACATGTATGCACAGTGACATGTTTTGTTATGGATAATGAGGTTTGAATTCCTCCCCCAGTGTCCATCCTGAGTTTCGTGTTAATCGCAATCCTGGTGATTTCTGAACTGATCTACTACAGCGAGACCAACATGAAGTATGAGTACAACGTGGACACAGAGCTGGAAAGGTCAGAAACAACGTTCTATAGAGACTTTTCATTCACATCAAAGCAATTATGATGATAAAAGAATACCCAGCAGCCATATTAAGTGAATTACAGCACAGTTTTCTTTTTTGCCCTTTACAGCAAACTGAAGATCAACCTAGATGTCACAGTAGCCATGAAATGTGAATGTAAGTATGCAGCATTCCTGCTCTTATGTGTTTTTCGAATAGAAAGAATAGAAAATAGCAGCAAGTTTATAGATAGCTGCTGGACCATGTTACATACATGCAAGGACACAAAACATCCTTGGTACATGTACATACTGCATAATTTCTTTAGTATAATTAATTCTGTTATCCCATGCAGCTTTAGGAGCTGATGTTCTGGACCTGACAGGAAACAGTATCAGTACTCAGGGATCCATTAAGGAGGACAGTGTGAGTACATTTTATAATTTGAAGTGCTGTGGTGCTAATGTAAAATGTCTCTCTGGACTTACCATTGAAAACAAGAAACATAAGCTAGCTAAATCAAATGCAGGTCAAAAGAAAACATTGCTTCTTGCAGTTTCTTCACATTCATTGCTTGTAAAATAAAGACAGAAAAACTTCAAAAACGTCTCTTGTGTTAAAGCATACAGTGGCATTGTTTTATTCATGTCATAGAGCAATATCTTTTATACAGTGTAATATGGGCAATTGCATTGTGTGTATTGTTCTTGCCAAGATGTTTCAGACTGATTTAAATTCTCTGTCCACTCACAGGTGTTTTTTGACATGACACCACAGCAGAAGCGATGGCAAAGGTGAGAAAAGTTTTTATCAATTCCTGTGAAGTCCAAAATTCCCCTTTTTCACAACCAATCTAGGAATAAGTCTATCCAGAATACCACAGAAATACATACTGACAGACTCGACCACTTAGGAATGTACAGCTTGCTTACCTCGCTTGCTTTGTTGTTTCAGGATGGTGCAAACAGTGAAAAGCAGTCTGGATAAGGAAAAGGCTCTTCAGCACCTGCTGTTTAAAACAGGTTTCAGCAGTAAACCTACAGCTGCACCTGTCAGGTGAGATGATGTAGGGGGCACCTGCAAAAACAGAACTGTCATATGGTATACAGAATTGTTACAGGGCAATTTCTTCTTACCATTTACAAATTTTGCTATCTGTTATATTATGTTCACTGACAGAATGTAAAACTATGATTACATAAAAATGCATTTCATCATTTGAATCATATCCAAATGTTACTGTTAACAAAACATTGTTGTTTTCCAGTTCAGGACACCAGAGAAACAAGCCAGAAGCTAATGCCTGTAGGTTCCATGGAACAATAGAAGTCAACAAGGTTAGCTTTGATATTTGTGTTTTTTCCAACTACATGTATCTCTCTGTACACAGGCAGTTATTTGAGTCTGTCGTCTCCATTTAGAAATACTACATAGAGCTTTTCATGCAAATTGAAACTACATGTACATTGTTATGTACATTGTACACCTTAAGATATCAGTAAGAAATCAAATACAGAAATGGCTTGTTAGTTACCAGCCAGTAATTGGCGCTCACCCATTCCTGTAGAACATCTGCATTGCCCCCCTCCCACTTTATCAACTGACTACCCATAAGTTGGGAACTACAGTATACAGTCACTAGTATGTTACACAGTTAGTTACACCTGTCCTCTTCCCCCTGTACAGGTGGCAGGGAACTTCCACATCACAGCGGGTCGGTCCATTCCACATCCACGGGGGCACGCTCATCTGTCTGCCGGCATCAACACTAAAGGTCAGCACAGAATCACATTTACTGGGCCAATCACCGGGATTGAAGTTTATATCCCTCCATGAGAGAAAAAACTAGGTGTTTCTGCCCATGTGATGTTGTTGAAACATTTTGAAACTTGTAAAAATTCTTCCAAATGGCTGACAAACAGAGACTATGTTGATTTCACTTGTCAACACTATGAGCAGTTATATTCAAAGCTCATGTGAGTGGAGTAAATACTGTGTGCTGAGCTGTCATTCAGGGTTTGTACAATGAATTGCATTATTGAAAAGAGCACTAACACATGTACTGTGGAATACCTTAAGTTCATGATGGGGAGAAACATGTCAGTCATGGCATGGACACTTATCTGAAAAACACTGATGGAACATGAAGATTATCAGATTTTTGTGCTTATGTCATGATAAATCTTTATCTTTTTAAGAACATTGTCTCCTGCCACATTTTGCAGCAATGTGTATATGTCTTTTCATCTGCTTTATTGAGACCAACCACTGTCTGTAACTGAAGAATGCATGGTTCATACACAGCAATGTTATAAAAAGCACTGAGTACTTTGCAGCTTGAGATGCTGCATCACTAATGCTTGGAAGCATGTCAATATGATATGAAGTTTCTACAGTTTTCTGGGAAGGCTTTTTAAATGCACTTTTTTGTCATTCTGTTATTGAGTTTTTTTAATGTTCATATTGGTACTGCATACAATGTAGCTAGTATGTTACCATGCACTACAAATAGGGCTAATAGGTATTGAGTGTGATTTGATTGTATATGCAGACAATATGATATAAATGTAGGACAAATGTGTTTTTCTCTCTATGCATGGTCCACCCACCAACCCTCCAAAACGTTACTACATGTAGTCTACAAGTCTCCGTCTGGAAATATGCTGGTAGTCATTACATCAGAGGAGCAACGTAAGTCAGCTGTCCACCCCTATCTGCACTCAGTGGTAGAAGCCACTACCATGCGGTTCTGTGGTGTTTGGGACTGAGTCATTCTAATCTGGGGATGTTGGATTTATTTTTCTGGTGGTAGGATAGATAACTAAAGGGATAGTCATTTCTTGGGTTAGACTTCCAGCATTCACTGTGTTTTATGTATGGGTAGAAGGAATTTCTATTTTTAATCAAAGTGCAGGCTCTTAGTCAAAATGATCATACACTAAACAGACAGGATTAGAGCTAGCCACATCACAAGCTTCCCTGCTTAATTCTTACCTGTAGTCACATCTCTATTTTCATTTTTTTACTATTGTTTTGTGGAACCTTGCGGAACTGTCATTTTGAAAATTTCTCATATTATGGATCATGTCCTAACCATAGTATCCTTTGACAAATTTATTTAAAAATCTTTGAGTCAGATGCATTGTTTAAAATTGTACAGTAACTTTGGATTCAAGTGATGCTGGTACTACATGTGTATTTGCAAACTTACTCTACAGTGTATTAGTGTGGTATTAATAATGGAGATCTATATGTAGAATATATTTTGTAGAGGGAAGTAGTAAATTTAATTAAAAGTTATGACATTTCGTTTTGTTAGAAACACTGTGCATTACCTCTACAGTGTTTAGCCTATTTTTCTACTGTAAACATTCAAGTCTAACCCCTCCCCTCCTAGTCCATCCTAGTTCATCCATTTGCTAAAGCCTTAATATATTTGTATTCTTTCATCTTAGTCTTAGGGTGGAATCATTGTTTCTTACTGGGCTGAAGAATTAAGTTTGCTAGTCTGATTTACAACATATTAAAACAACATGTTGATGGGAGCTTTTCTCATTAATAACAACCTCTTTGACAGTTTGATACATTGTATTTCACTTCTACTTGTTCCAAACTTCCCTGTACTGTATCACCAATGCATGTAGGTGTGGCTCATGTGTCTACTTGCTGTTACTCATTGCACAATTGAATCAGTTAACTTTCAGTAACACTCCATGATTGACTGAACATTTTCTCCACTTAACAATTTTAAAATGCACAAATACTCTTTCAGCATTGCTTCTTTGGTTTGGTTACTTTTCTAAGTCTCATTTTCATACTAATCATAGTAACTACAGTTATGTCTCAGCCGAACTCTAATTTGCTCACCAAAATATGCAGCTCGTATACATACTATTACTTTTTGCACATAATTGATAAAAGATCACTCACAGTCACATATACGCAGGAAGTACTGATTCTTCAGCAGAAAAGATAAGTTTTTGTTCTAGTGCTCTAACATACTTGACTTTTTTCCTGTCCAGACTACAACTTTTCCCATCGTATTGACCACCTGTCGTTTGGCGACCCTGTTCGTGGAATCATCAATCCTTTAGATGGGGAGGAAAAGGTCACTCAAAGCAGTAAGTCAGACACCCCTTTCAAAATAATGGTATAAGCCAAGTCTAAGTTTTCCAGTGATTGTACTCAAACTGTCATAAATTACCTAACTTTGAAATCAGTGATGAGTTGATATCCCTTCAAAGTCACCTTAAGTTATTCTCAGACAACTACAGTGCAGACATGTGTATGTTTCCCTGTCCAGCCATGCAGATGTTCCAGTACTTTATCCAGATTGTTCCCACCAGAGTGAACACCAGACAGGCACAGGCTGACACCGGACAGTTTGCTGTTACAGAGAGGGTAGGTCCACAGAATTTTCACCTGTAAATAGTGTACATAGCCTCTGTTTGTTTTCTCTGTCATGAACAGTGGAAAATTAGCTCTTTAGTGAGCTAAACTTACTTAAGATCAGTTTCATGTTAATGAAGTATTCCTCTGTCCTGTTCCCAGGAAAGAGTGATTGACCATGGATCCGGGAGCCATGGTGTTGCAGGGATCTTCTTCAAGTACGACCTGACCTCCATCATGGTGAAGGTCACAGAGGAGAGACAGCCCTTCAGTCAGCTGCTCATCAGGCTCTGCGGCATTGTGGGAGGAATCTTCGCCACATCAGGTAATGGGGTAACACTACATCAAGTAATAGGGTAACACCATATCAAAGAAGTGTGATGTATTTGATATCTGACATGATGCTGTTCAAGATCTTTTTTCAGCACCACCAGTGACTGCTGGGCACAATAGCCTGAAACCCTCATTCATGTGATGATGTACATGCACATTTAGCCTGGCCGAAAATAAACTACAGAACTTGAAAACACTTGTAGACACTGTATCATTATCCTTAACCTACCACGACATCTTGTCAATCCTCTTCCAGGCATGCTGCATGGTTTCATTGGTTTCCTGGTGGATACGTGGATGGCGAGGGTCAGGGGAAGGGAAGAGCAGTTCTCCAACCACATGGTGAGTATATATAGAGGTGGCAGATAATTGACTTTGTGTTTTTCGACATAGATCATGGAATGGTATGTCTCATGTAGTAAATTAGCAGTCCCATATTTCCGCAAGACATTATTGTTGGAAATTTTTGCCTCAGCATCAGTGTACAAGCATGTCTAACTAACCCTTGGAAGACAGGGAAAAATAAACGCTAAAGTGGAAAGTGAGTTAGTGAGTGAGCGACTGAGATCAAAATTTGGCAGCCTTTCTTGCATATTGTTTGTTTCACTGTTTATCATATACCTTTGTACATTGCATATGACTTGCTGAAATCATATATATATTCCTGTTTGTATGCATTTTTTGCAGCCCACACCAGCCCAGCTACCTCCTCAGGACATCCCCCTACAACAGCTGGACAGGGAGTTTCCAGAGCAGGAGAGCCCTCTAGCAGTTAACCTGATAAGTACAGACAGATGACAGCAGCATATAATGTACAGCCCAGGAAGATTATTTTCCGCATTTGTACCAGCAGTCAGGTTGGATATGTTTTATTCTTTTACTGCAGTCAACAACATCTTTGTGACCCATGTATTAACATAGCAAAAAGTCAATACACATTGATATTGGCTTGGTGCTCTTGAGTTTTTCAGATCTCGATCATACAAGTTATTGGATTCCATGTTTTTAAACAAATATGGCTCAGTGGCTAGAAGTATGGCCATCTTCAACAGCATCACTCTGAAGAAAGTTTTGAGACAATACATGTAGGTTGACAGTCACATTTCATGATACTGCTTAATATGCAAAACATTTTGGTGCATGGGAATCATTTTCATTCATAAATCCTGTCTTTAGGAAACATTGTTCATAAGTTTTCCTTGTCTTTATTTGTACATACATACTTGCATACATACCACATGAAATACTTTGTGGCTTACCAAAAAGGCATCGTTTTTAGTGAATAATAAACCTGTTTACTTGAACTGTTACATGTGACAGAGACTACATGACTATTAGAAAGGTTTCACCATCATAGGTTTAGATTCAGTAGTTTTCTTCCATGGCAAACTTCAGTACATTGTACAGCATCATATACATGTGTATTAATCTCACTGTAAATGATTTACGTTGTAGCATATTCTTGTAGAGAAAAAGGTTGGCACTACTGGATATATATATATATCTTACAATGAATAAATTATGAATTCTGCTTTGTGGAAAGTATTATTGTTCTTATTCAAAGGCATCTTATCATTTTACTTCATAGACCAAGACGTACATAATTTTCTATGCTCCCCTAACTTATTTTTACATGGTTTAGACAATAATGTTCTGCCTGTCAAAGTCTAATGTTTACTGCAACTACACTACCAGCTTACTTGCATTTTGTACCATTATAACTTTAACCATGCTGCATCAGTGCAGTTCTACTGTCAGAGTCTCCTCCTGTTCCTGTACTGAACCATCTGTGGTGACGGTCTCCTGTAGTTCCTGTGGATTTTTAAAAATGCTCAAACTTTAATCTTTAGAAACATTTTCATTGCAACATGTTATCCAAAGGTAATTTCACAACCATATGCTATTGTCTATGCCAGCCTTTTATTGAGGGGAAGGGGGCAATGTGTCAGGATACTCACTTGAACAGCTGCATCCTTCTTAAATATCTGAGCTGTCAATGTGGCCATTAAAGAGTACAGAACTCCTGTGTGAGAGAAGCACCAAAGTCAGGAACACGTTTTGTGGCTTCTTATGGTAAATAAAAATAAGTCTTTGTGTTGTTCTCGACATGAAGCAAAGATGGAACACTGAAAATATATCTCATGATATCTCAACAAACATAAAGCCCCCAGGCTTATTTTTGCATTTTGCACCTTCTACCAGCAGTATCTCAATTGCAACTTACAATTGAAGTGCTGTATGAAAAAAGTACAAATAAAAAGCATTATATTATGCATTACACAAACTGGTCATGGTACCTTGTTATCTACATGTAGTGCCCTACAACACATTTTATGTGCCAATCATGGAGATAGTCCATTACCTGAGGTTGTATAGACTCCTCCTATGATTCCACACAAGCGCACGGCAAGATGGCCCAGGGACTTCTCCTCCTCACTGATGTGTACCCGGATACTGGACAGCTCAAATGCTATGTAAATACCTGGTGAAATATATTTTGTTTGTAAAGGCATAAACACAAGACTTTATCCTCATCACCCTATGTAGTGCACCAAAACAGAATTTAGCTACAGTAGCTTACAGATCTTGATTCTTAAAACAGTAGATATGAAAGGTGGTTGTCAAAGTTTGATAACTACCTGCTGCTCCTGATCTCACTCTCCCATAAGCAGCTTCTACAGCTTTCTCCTAGAAATGTGGAAGATAGTGGTGTTATCGTCTGCTCTGTCTGTGCTTTTGTCTCTCCTTTAGCTACTTTTCCAGGAGTATAGAGTAGAAATACAAAGATGTACATACGAGTAACACACATAACCAAATGGACATGCATACAAGATTTACAATCTATTTGAAACAATGAAACAAAGATACTGAGCATAAGATATACGTAAAGAGTGTTTCAGATAATGTTGATGGCATAAATGCGGTAGAAGTTTAGTGTCTGACCCTTTCTGTCACGGCGAACTGGTGCGTTTGTGCAGATATCCGCCTGGTGCGCACGGTGGTGGGGACAACCTGCACTACATACTGGTACAGCATGTTCCCTGGGCGCAACAGAAACATCTGAGTTTCTTACGTATTTTGGAGGAGAAATAGTTACTCCTAATGTATACTTCTTAAGATTGGCCAAACCTCTTGCCTACTAGTATTTTCTTACAAGCAATGAAAGCTCCTTTTTACCGCCTTTAACAAGAGGTCATGTACCACCACTAACAACATTTGTCGTTTTCTACTTCAACCGCCTTTCAGCATTTGACTTAACGTTACACCAAAGGGCAGTTTACATTCATATACATGCATACTAACACAGATACAAACTGCCTAATACAGAAAACTTGTCTCTGCTCATAGCGCTTGTGGAGTCCCACGCACCAGTGTCTGTGTTCTTCTCTTCGCCATCCAGAGGGTTGAGAATGCCGGGTGTCAGGGCACCGAAAGACAGCCGGTCAATACGATGGGAGAAGTTGTACGTAACAGCTGTGTGATAACCAGTTAAAGACACTGCATGAAACTGAAATAGTACTCATCGAATGCTTTTCATACTAGCAACGTTATGGTTTGTAGTATAGCAGTAGGTACAAATGTAAGCTCTTTGACGCCCTGAGATTAAGATCATGAATCTATGTCTATATGATTTAGCTTTTGGTCGGTAACACATTGTTTAGAAAGAGATTAATTGCAATTCACAGTGAGATGGGCCGTCTTAGTACTTGCTAGCAATGGCATCATTGCCAATGTTGTTAATGACACGTTCCATTTGAGTTGCGTGTGTTATATTTAGGTGTCTGTGCTTTGCTTTATACACATGAAGTAACCTACGCTCGTCACTCTGTAGCAAGTCCGGTGCCAGGTAGTGGTTATGTCCTGAACCGTGCTGGACAGACCTGAAATTTAATATCATCAATATCTGTCATTCCCGGGATAATTCTGATCAATGATGACTATTCAATTGAAACGCCGCATTTGACATTTTGTATTCTTCTACATTAGAGAAATGAACTCGACATATCGTGTTGCCTAATTGTTTAATCAAGACGAATCATCTAAATCAAGACGAATTATCTAAAAAAAATCCATGAATATATCATCAAATGCTTCACTTCTTATTGCACTTAATGATATGTTGAGGACAATGATTCTCTAGTGGCTATGAATTCGAAAGAAACCTACCTTCCAGCCATGATATGAAGTGTTCCAGAAACCTGTATATATCAGAAACGATGACATTTCAATATATTGAATATGCTGCATCAATTATCAAATGGTATTTGGAAGTGGAAGAAGAGATCTATTGTTTTTTACATCTGTGAAGAACTGTGCCGACAAACGTATTTTTCAATATGCAATGCCAAGAAGTATGGGAAAACGATGAAGACGAAGTTTAAATATAAATCCTTACCTTATCAATTTCCAGTTGCCCATGAAAGCGACACGCGTCCACTTGTTTCTTGTACAAAGTTGTGTGGTCGTGCCTTGGTTTGGAATAGTATACATATGTATGCAACCTCATTGGTAAAGAAGTCAGGTAAATCCAATCACAAGTATCTTGCATGAAGACGATATGTCGACATACAACGACATGTATTACATTTCACACCATGCATTTACCGGTATTGTATTTCAGTCTTTAGAAAGCGTAAATCAGTTATAACTTATAATGGTTATGTTTCCCGAAGGAAAGCCGAATAATCAGCCTCTAATATCGTCTACACACGTGACATCGAACCATGAGGGACACGTAAGGTAAGGACACGTACCTGATGACCGTCCGTGACGTGTCAAGTCCTGATTGGAGGATGACATCTCTCAGCGACCTCTTTGCGTTGATGGCTCTTCGAAGAGATTGTAATTTTCTGAAGGTATAAAATGGCATTGTTGTATTATTGATAGCTACATGGACAGAACTGATTGATTGCCAAAAAGATGGTTGCAAGGATTATAGAAACTCACCTTTGTTCCCTTTTCTGTTTTTCTGTTAACTCAAAGTACGTCATCTGATCCCGTAAGGACCAATAGTGGCCGAGGGAATTGGTGACGTCAGCACCCACGTCTGAGAAAAAAATGACTGTTCTGGGTGCGGATATTATGTTTTGCGAATTGCAAAATTAAACAACTTAAACAAGAATAGACAGTAATTGGAACTTCGAATTCTCATAGGTTACGAACGACTTTTTATCAAAATAAATTGAGTCGGTACATTCGCACGGCATTGCCACAGTAATGTCCACACTCATGTTCAGCTTCCTGCAATACAAAACAATAATTACAACATCTGAACAAAGGCGATGTAATGTCAGATCCTATCATGTTACCAATCTATAGCTACATCAATGATGTGCACTTAATTGATATCTTCTGTAAATATCAAGAAGGATCATACGTGAATTTGTGCTGATGGTGATTTTTTTTATAAACGTTAATTCAAACATGTTGACAAAGGGAAGCCTGCATTTTTACTTATCTGTTAAGTATTAATATTGCTTCAAATGATTAACAGTATCTGTGCTGTATGGAATTAGAGCCATTTCGCCTCAGGGCTCCTACACCTCCACCGTGTTTCTTCAACCATCAGTGACAACTTACTCCGATACTTCCTTGTCCACTTCATACTGATAGCGAATTTCGCTTCTCCCATAGCGCTGTACCTCTGACGTCACAAGAATAGCGATGGCGGCAAAACACAGAAGAGATACTGGAGAAAGACAATTTAAATATTGATAATCTGTGCCTGATATCAATACTATTAGATGAATTACGGTAAGTACGTGAATTGTTGATGCTCCACTAGTTCATGCCTATGTCATGTTGATACGTTAGTTCAACACGTGGACTACTTTGACACGTCACCTTTATCACACGTGCAAGGACTCGAGCAGAATGATCAAAGACTATGAATTAGACTAGAATTAATTTCAAGTAGATCTTTGGGACAAAATCGACAACTACCGACCAAGATTGTTCGCACAGCCAACAAAGTATGACGTTTTTTCTTGAGTTTAGTTGTTCTCCCGTTTGACATATGCAATGAACAACAGTAGAACTGATAAAAGATCAAAACCCCTCACCGGTGGCTCCTGTAGTACTCTTTTCTCTGCAGTCGTCAGGAAGCTTGGGGAAGGCGTCCACCCGCCTGACCAGCCCGACACTCTCCCGGCGTACCCGCGACAGCCGCCGCCTCATGTTCTCCTGTGTCTCGTGCACTCAGCAGGTCACTTCTCTTGCTTCTAGTGCTGACGTGTGGACTCGGCCAAACTCAATACTTATCAAAACGCGATCGCAATACCAGGCTGTTCAAGTCCATACTGGTGGGAATCCGCGAATCCTTAAAACAAATGTGAATTTTCTTAGGCATATGACTATAATTCAATAATATCTTCATTTCATGCTAATTTGTAAGCAACAGCAAAACCTGTCTGGATGGACGAGTCCACTTGACAACGAAACTCTGAGCGCCGGTGTTTTGAATCTACCGATTGAGTCAAAGGGTCAACAGTAGATACATTACTTGTAGTAATCAGGGCTATGATAGGTAGTAACTATATACACATATATGTACATATAGACATGTAGCTACCAGATTTTTTTTGTTGGACTAAAATAAGAGATGACACTCCTATGCTGTCAGTAACAGGCTTTGCTACCTCGCTTTCGATCGCAACAGTCGTCTTTCATGTCAAGTACACTTCACTCCGTGAATCACGTGATTAACATCCGGGTAGGGAATAAGATATCTCCCACAAATGTGAAAAGAAATTTCTTAGGGGGGAGTATGGGAGCCCGTAATACAAATAGAATGGCACCCAGGCTACAAATGTGTGTGCACACCCGCCAAAATGAAATGTTGGCAAAATGAACAAAATGAAAGTGATGTAGTGTGTAGTACAGAATCTCCAAGAATACGGCAACGACGCGATTACCAAGCATTTCTGTTTACCAATGAAAGGATTTTGTTGAATAGAAACTGAGGATAGCCTATTAGATGTAAACAGGTGCTCTATGTTTTATAATTACGTATACACGTGAGAAACTAGTGAGTCGATAAACACGAAACTAATCACCTACTCCGTCTGCTGGTAAGCGTGATGTAATTGAAGCAGTTTGAAAATTACATTTTTGTGTCCATGTCTCCGTATCTGTTTAATGGTTAAACTAAAGGAACCACGCAGGTGACATTTTATACTTGCTGGTACACGGAGTTTTTTTAATGTTCATAAAATTGTTTCAAATGCATACATTACATATATCATTGTCGACAAAGGCCCCGATCGTGATCCTTATCGGTTATGGCGGATCGGGGTCTGTCACCTGACATACAACATACAGCATGTGTCATGTATATATAATATGGCTATAGGTAGCTAAATGGCGACCGTGTATCCATCGATAACTCGAGTGTCCTCATAGTGGATGGTTTATTCCTCATGATGTCATACACAACATCTTGATCTGATTCGTTCTCCACAGGAAAACCATAAATTGTTACCTCTTTCAAAATGTCACGGTTACTTCTGATGGCTTCTGCTAGTTCCGTCAAGGCGAACCTGCTACAGGGGGAGTTACAGTTCCAAATGTGTAGATGGAAAGACGTAAGAATTCGGTTCTCACGGATTATCTGTGCAATAGAGATCAACACAGCGGACGCGTTATGTGTACGGTCGGAGACAATTGCATCAGCTGGCTGTTTCATGGAAACAGAATAAAGGGACTGGTGATTTTTTATCGCATCCAACACGACACGAAAATCCTGACATCCTTGAGTTGTATGTAATAATGACACGTCCAAGGCAAATGACTTTAGCGAGGTTTGACTCTGAAGCAGTCGCGATATTGCACCACAGTACGAGGTTTCTGACGCCGTGAAAACGGAAATGCTAATTTCGTTTACATTTCTCTTTTTTCTCAAGTCGTCAAACATGTCCGAAAGCGTCATACATTTCAAAGGACCGACGGCGTCTGCCGCTGCATGGACTGTAATTTTTACTTTTTTCAATCTGTCATCAGGGAAAAACTCACTTAAAGATGATCTCAGAACTGTGTTGTTTGCTGTTGGGAGAAGGGGCATAGACCAACCAGTCATTATGACAGATTCAACAACTGTGGTCGATTCTAGCACACTTCTGAAACGTACTAACATATCCCTGGGTATATCAACTGCCCAATGAATAGATGCTAGCACCAAAGTCCGAAATGTCTTCTGCAGAGTGTCATCTGAGCTCTTTTGTAGGAATTGAACAATGGCAATAAATCCTTCAGTCCATTCAACTGACAGATAGTCAAAATCAAACACTACTTCTTCGGGCATAGCAGGAGCAACGGTATCAGCCAGTTTGGCAGCAACATTGGTGGCACCCAAACAGGTGAGACAGCGACGGACAAGACTTTTTAAAACGTACTCTTCTTTCATTGTTAAGGCTTTTTCATTGGTGGCATCATGAAAATCATCTAGCAACGGTTTCGCCTGGTCACCTGACAAGCCACACAAGAAGATGAGAATCCCTTCTAACTCCTCCCTTTTCACAATTGTGTTCAGTAACTCTGCAGTTAAAGCGCCTTCTTTGTGCAACGTTAACATGTGATGGATATAGTAAGCAGCCATGAATTCTTGGAGCGTTGGATGGAGAAAGGATACGTAGGCGTATCCACTAGTTCTGGAGTCAGTTTCTCCTTGTACCATCATGCCTAGAGGTAGCACGTCTGTTGTTTTCTCTCCTTCCATATCATCAATGTCAAAATGAAACTTATTAATCTTTGATCCCTTCCATGCCAGCCTTCCCTGAGACAGCAACAATACATCCATACTAGCTGGAAAAGACCTTCCGTCACATTTAATGTCAAATTTAGCACAGTATCGCTTTGTTATACTTTTTACCACTTCTCCATACAGTTCAGTTTTGGTTTTAGGCAGTCTCTGGTTGTTGTCCTCCCACAGTACACAGATCAGGAGTGCATTCAGTGGGTTTTCTGTGATTTCTTTCAAGTAATGATTCTTTGAAACTGTTGCAGAGAGTTCATTGGCAGAGTTGGAATCATTGATGAAATACTTTTGAAAGATTTCGTCTTTTTGATCTTGTCTGAAACCGACAATTTTGTAAAATGCATCAGAATCTTTCAACACTTCGCGAAGCTTTAAGGGGCGAGACGTTACTAAGACCGTGCTACCATAGAATATTTTCCCTTTGATAAGATCAAGAACGTCTGAATTCTTTTGATATTCCACATTTAGCTCATCAAAACCATCCAGTATGAAACACACTTTCTCCTGATGATGCTTGATGTACTCCTTCAATTCTGTTTTGCTGATGTCTAGATTATCCCCTAGAAGCTGATCATAAACTGAATCCATGACACTCCCGTTAAAACGACGTAACCCTATAAGAAATACCAGTGTGAATTTAGTAATCCTCCCTACCCAATCTATCACCAACTTTCTACACAGTGTTGACTTCCCCCTCCTGGTTCCCCTTCAACTATAATCCTAGTTGGTTTACCTTTGCGTGAATTTTCATGTGAGTTAAATACTAGTTCACTTGGTGTAACAACTTCTGCCGGCGTGATGAAGCTCCCCCTGTCGCTTTCTCTCTGCATTCGCAGGTTGATGTACCCATCAGCAAGTCCGAAGCGAAGTCCCGGTTTCCATGGCAATGGCTGGATGTATGAGTAGCGTTTGTCGTAGAGTGTTTTTAGGAAGGATGCCGTCGCTGAGATATATGGGTCATCTGCAAAGAATAGTGCATAAAATACGGGTGTTAGTATGCAATGAACATGTACGTGTACTGTTTCAATGCTATAAGCTAAGTATGCGTACCAGCTTCATTGACACCTAACAGGCTAGTAAATATATTTCCAATGTGACCTTCTTGATGCATGTGACATGATGTCACCCAGCAGTCAATGTTCCTATCTTAAACTTGAATATTTTTCATATTCTTCAAATTTGATGATGTTTCTGTAATTGCCTTTTTTAATGACCGGATTTTGCTGATGTTGTTTTGCTTTCTCTATCTTTGCTTGTGTCATTTTTCAATGTTTGATTCCTAACGTACCATTAAGTACAATGCAAATGGGCCGAATTAGCAATTATTGAAATTATCCAATTCGTTACCTCTAGTTATTAGATAAAATCCTAAAATGACTGCAATGACGACTGCGATGACAGCAACCATGGCCCAGACGCCGAAGTGACCATACCCTACAGATAATGAGAGTAAAGGGGGAACAGTTCATTACTGTCCAGCCCAGATGCAGATATGACACAAATGTTATCTACAAGAAGTCACATACTTTACATAACACCAGTCCCTACAAATTAAGCATCATTACACAACAGTATGAAAGAAGTAAGAGACAAACCTGTGTTGCTACGTTTTGCTGTCTTGCTGATGATGTCATCTGCAACGGCCTGTATGTTACGGTCGTTAACTAGTCCCGTTTGACTGTCACAGGCGACACAGTGTGCCCTTAGTTCTTTCAAAGTCGGCGAGTATTTTCTCACCAGCGTATCAAAATCGCTTAAGTCGTAATCAAGCCAGATCGGAATAATCTGTAACCCATGTTTTTGGGCCAGCTCAAATTCTCTTTTAGGCCAGTACTTGTGTTCGGAAAGGAGGCTTCTGCTCAAAACTATTACAACCAGCCGTAAGTTTGAGTTAGCTATGGCTGACTCAATAGATTGTTTGATCTGATCGCCTGCTTCAATACTGAATTTGTCATAAAAGATGTCATCAGATTTAAGGCCTTTGCTACCAAAGCTTTGTACAAAGGTTCCACAAATCTGTCCTTGTCTTCTCCGGCGTGGCAGAGGAACACAGATGGGCCTGGGGAAATATCGACAACATCGTCTCGGAAATCTTGTTAGACAAATATCCTTCGAATCAAAGTACGAAACCTGAGTAAAACAATGTGTCATATTTCTACAGCTGATATCAAAGAATCGTTTTACAAACGTTCTTCTTGGAGGCCATTGATGATAATGAAAGATCCATGACCTCATCCAATAAAACTAGCTGTAGCAGTCTTAATATTCATGAAGATATATATACTAGTATCCTTCCGGGTTCCGGGTTTTACATTCTTCACATAGAACAGTTATTGTGCCCGACAAGGATCGGAGGAAGTTTACCTGTCTTGCATGATGCCTGCCCCATGATGGTTTATGCCTGCAGTTCTTCGCGCTAAGCGTCCCTGCGCTTTTCAACTCTCGTGTCCAATCTCTAATGGCATATAAATATGTACCATTAACGTGTGTAGTGGCTAACACATTTCTATAATAGATCCTAGCTGTCTGTTTACATAATTGACTTGTTGACTCGTTACACGATCGGCTTTCACAGTGACATCACAGCGTAAGGCCTGTTTGTTTCTATGCACCGCTGTTATTGCACCTGTCGACTGACTTACTCACGTTAATGGTCGTCATGTATTTATCTATTCAAACGTGTTTCATTACCAATAACATGTAAATGTCCAAGCCACCATGCAGCTAAGGGTAAAATGAGTTTAAGGCCCTTTCAGTGAGGAAATTCAATCTCTACCTGCCATATTGGTTTTTCTACTCGTACTTTACAGTGACCACCAGAAGACTGGACATTCTATCTGCACTTACTCCACCTCTATCTCTGGGTATCTCTGGGATTGTTCACTGACCTTTCGTGTCGTACTTCACAACAATCGGGGAGCTAGTACTGCTCTCGAAGTGACCTTCGCACCCTGCACCCGTGACTACTACTTTACTTACGTCCTTCTTGTTTACACGTAATGTCGTTGCTATGAGCCCAGCAGTCACCGGGCCTAGACAATGAATACCATGCATGAATGGTGTAGGCTCAAACGTCGTGTTCACACAAATATTAATAAAAGAGACTTCACCTGCCTCGACAGTAGAATTTCGCCAAGCACCTATGCACAGCGTGTACGTGTATTTCACCCTTCTGGCACTTGCACTGAAGACTATGCTGGTGCCATAATCAATGAAATACTAGAGAGGAGTATCCAAAAAGAAAGTAGTATCCAAAAAGAAAAAGAAATCTCCGGGATACAAGATTCGGTCTGGTTATAACTTAACCGTATTGTCTACTTCACATTTGTCTGTTATTGACATCCCATGTTTCGTCACGCATAGCTGAATGAAACATGCTGAAGGCAGTAATTACCAGAGTCGGGGAACTGATATGTGTCTACATTTTAATGCTAATCCACAAAAGAAATGTATACTGACTACCTAGTACCTGTCGTGCAATTATCACATACAAGTTCAAGGTGTAGACCAAAGAGTATTTACGGTAACTCCGATCGAGTTGACTGTGGCATTATGGTTATCTAGCCATGAGAGTGGATGAAAGGCTGACAGACAGTGCATATGTCAACTCATGTGCTACAGTTTCTTTGTCTATTTCAATACGCGCAAAAAGAATCCCACTGACGGTTTCCTTTAAAACCGCAACGACTGTAGTCACTTCGTCTGGTATATTAAATCATCCATACATCTTCTGGCGATCTGGTTGTAAGCTGTCGATAGCAAACGTGACAACTCAGTACTCATTACAAGGTGTGGGGCAATCTGATCTTTTCAGTACATAGTTTGCTTGAAAACGCAATTTGCTTACTAGTAGTACCCTGGCTTGTAACACATTAATCAACAATAGTGATAACTGATCTGTAACTGTATTACCTAACCTTGTGCACGAGCACTGGTTTCCTCATGTTTGTCATTTCCTGAACGCCGAGAGCTAAACTAAAGCTAGGCTAACAGGGTAGAGAAAAATGCTATCCAAACATTTGACAATGGCAATAAGTTTCAGCCAAATGCTATCAAGCGTGTGACGCCCTAGCAGGTCCCGCTAGGTGGCGCTTAGTAACAGGTGCGGTGCACCTCCATGAAGCGAGCCCACAGGTTCTCCCAGGCTCCTGCCGCACTGCTGCACCCCATCTCTCCGAGGAAGGCTATCAGGGCAGGCTTCATCAGCTGGTGTGAGATGATAAAAAAAGCAGTTATACATTTACATCTGAAACAATGAAAATCATTCCAAGCACAAGAGTTAAGCAATGAAATGAAAGGAAAACCGGACGCCGGAAATACTCGGAAATAGACACGTTGATACTCACGTCGATGTTCTCATGAGTCACGCCCACGCCCTTGTGTAGGAGTCCCACCTTCTCCACGGCGGCGTCCCCGGCACTGTCCAGCCCTTTGATAAAGTCATCCAGAACCTGCATCACCTGTGTGTTAGGTACGAGATGTACGATGAGACGTCAAGTTGGCATCTCCCAATCATTATCAACACAGCATGCTCTCAGAAGTTCAAGGATTTTCAATACGGAGCACAAATTTACGACTAGTTTAAATGGAAACAAAAAAAAAACAGAGTTATATTTCCTATACGTCATGCAAGGGGTCAACGTTTATAAATTTGATATGCAGAGGTCTTCTACAACAGTGGAACTTGTTACCTGTATGTCTTTATCCAAAAGAAATCAGGCGTTGATTGACGTACATGTAATAGTTACTTTGCCACTGATATAGAACGAGATACAGATTTGGCGACCCAACCGTTTACAGGTGTACTTTGGTCTCAGCTTATCACACTAGTACTCTACGCCAAGCTCATTAATTCTATGCTAAAAGCCGCCTTGATTGAAAGACTGTTGACATTGGGATTTTCTGTGACTATTTCAGAGTCTTATTAATGCTGAGGCGTTCATTAATCTACTTTTCATGACACATATTTACAAGTAGTAGCCAAGTGTGCTGACTGCACGCAGATGGCCAAGGGCAGACAAGGATGGAGAAGGCTGGTGCTGGATGCTACCACAGTCCCCGACCCTCCAGACGAGGATGGGACCAGGTGAAGCTGAAGCCAAGTGTATGCAGTGATGAAGTGTACAGGAAATGTAGAGTTAGAAACAAACATCACAGTAAGACAGCCTATACCTTCCCGCCGTGTTCACGCACATCGGGATGCCCGGCCAACTTGTCGTACGGAATATCACGGAACTTCGGGAACATGGCTTTAGTGGAGTCGGTCTTCAAGAGGCTAGACACCGACAGATATAGGAAAAATCATATTGGTGCGTTTTGGGCCATGGGCGATATAGTATGTGTGGAATTACAAATCAGTGTGCTTTAAACATGGTTTCCTTGGGTTTCTCCTGTGCATCAGTAACGGTAAACCCATGGCATCCACGGGGTAGACGGAAACACCTAAAATGCACCATGATGCAAGCTGTACTACAGTGTAACTTTAAGCCTTGGCCACGAGAAGTCGTTCAAATATTCCAAACAATCTAAAACAATCTGCTTTCCATTTTTTTTCTTCTCAGGTGATCGCTGTTGTACAAGGATTACTTAGCCTTACTAAATCGCGCTCCTAGTAGCCCGCCCGACTGATTTGCCCCCTCCGAAAATAAACCCACAGTAGTAAGAGATAATTTTGCACATTTGCTCTCATTTCCTTTTGCCTTTCATCTATTGCCATGGTTTCAAAAGATAACAGAAAATTTTGTTCACAATCAAGTCAAACTAATCGCATGCGTTAGACATTATTTGACAAGTGCTTGGCTACACACTTACAGTAAGAAAACTTTTTCCCCGGCGTCTTGGAACGTGGGACCAGACATCTTGGCCCAGGACTCCAACACTGCGCTCTTGTCTTCAGACGTGAGACCCATCGTACTTTCAGCTGGGGAAAATTGTCAGTGTGCGTTTTCCATTAATAGAACATGGGGATAATTTTTTCCTGTATCTTTTTAATCATCAGAAAAAATACGATAGATACGCCAATTAGTGAATACATTGAAATATAATATTAAACATACATTTGAGACGTTCCTACCCTGTTCGTTGTCGGCAAAAATGTTTTGGACCGCTCTCCTCTACTAGTCTTGCTGCGATGTGCCGGGGGACACAGCATGCCGAGGCTCTTTTATAGGGCCCCAAATCTAGCCTCAAAACAAACATCTGGGGACTTCAAAGAAGCTCCAAGCAACTGTTTCATCTCCTTTTGGTGATCTTTTCGTTGGTGACTTTCATATCAAATATTGAAAAAATGATTTTCACAAAAGATATTGAGAGGAAGGTCATGATTGTAAGAGAACCAAAAAAATAAAATAAAACCAATGACTTTAGCTACTCTGTTGTAACCTTACGATGTCTGCTTCTAGGCTATTCTGAAACGTGCTCAAATGGCTGACATCATAGTCACGTGATGGTTGACTCATATTTTTCCAAGTTCGATAAAAAATATACGTTGGTGAATAACTGTAAGATTTCAATTTTTTTTACAGAAGTGATAGGACTAAATAGATCGATGCTTGCTTTCAAAGAATTGAATCCGCCAATATTTCCAGTGTTATAATATCATTCATTGGCGCAGCGCCCTCATGACACCACAGCGTTTCATAAGAATTCTTTAATGCCCCGAAGAACTGCCAAACGCTCTACAGGTTTTTCACCTATATAACACCCTTTGACCTAAAGCACAGTAAATGCTAGACACTACGTGTTCATAGTCATGCACACAACCATCATACCTAGTCTCTGTGTACCTTAACGGGTGTAACCTTCTAATCTTAACTGATACAAGCATGATAAATGTATCACGTTGCATGCGTTTCCAGAATGTGTCTCTCATTAAATAACTGATTTTTCATTTTTCTCTGCAAATTGCGTAATTACGCCAACTGACGAGAGACAAGTTTGGACGTTCATCTTCATAACCGTATATGATCGAAATCATATGCCTTGTGATCTTACAATAGAGGATTTTCATGGATGAGATAATAATTGTAATTTTTATACCTAGCGACCACGTTGGTGGCTAAGTGGATATCCACCAGTACTTAGCCGCCAACATGGTCGCTAAGCATGTTGATGTATTTATCGTATATACAGCAATCCAACGAGTGACATCATATGAATACCCTGTATCGGTATATTCCAGCATCTTCGTCTTAACGCTGATTAACTAAATGAGGGAGAGGAATAATGTCAAGTCAGATGACTTAATCTGTCCATATCTTTATTGTTATTATCACCCGAAAGGTTTAACTTACTGGCATCTCCGTGACATTTGTAACAAGGCTTGTAAAATATCCATTGTTCCATATCTGTTGATCACATTGTGCTAATCCTGTAGAACCAAGGTAACAGCGATAACAGAGCCAAACGGCCGTTTAATTACCATTTGGTGCTGATGCTGGGATAGTAATGACTTTTGTGTAAACATGCCAATTATTATACGTGGCAATAAAAGGTGTTTAGAATGCTGACCCGATCTTTTTATGACATGGAGGGCTAACTGGAGCTACTAGTATGTTGCACAAATAGTCACGTCACAGACAAAATGCTTGATTGATTGATTGTAATGCACATTTTCCACAAACAACGTGTTCCCGTGATGCTCTTAGACCCACAATGATGAGAAGACTATCATGTACAGGTCCAGCATTATCAGTGACAACTCATTTCAGCGCTCTAAGCTATCGCTTACCAGCAATATGTGCAATATGTGCACACTATTCCAACTGCTGTTGTAGTATAAGATAGTCTCATGCCAAAAGTGGTCAGGCAACAGGCACGATGCCACCCGTTATTCGTTTTCAAGTCACTAGTGCACCACAGTTTCGCCTCATCTGTGACAGGTGTGTGGATTCATTTGAGGAACCGATCCTGGCATGGCTGTCAATCACAATTATCAGTTCCACCAATGAGAGGATAGCAACCAGTCGTCCAATGAAAGAATAGCTATATCTGTTGCCATTATTCATATAACAGAAAGGCGACCCCTATCACATCCCAGTGGAACTGGATGTCTGCCATACGCTGTGTGAAGCTTTGTGTGACTGTCCCGTCAACGTCGGTCATTCTCGTATTATTGCCGAATACGTACGAGCATGCCATACCTAATGAAGCCGAGTCCGAAATATGGAGTGAGATAGAGTTTCTACATTTCATCTTTTACAAACAATCATTTACTGCTTCACATAGTTGCTTACGTACTTCTAAACGATATTTTGTTACAATGACGTTCTCTATTGAAGCACAAACCTGGCCTTGTCTTGTATGGAGAATCATTGACGCTGACTGCATGCTGAACTCCGTAGAAGAGATTTCGTCTAGCATTTTGGGAATAATTGTTGACACGATCCCCTCCGGAAGCATATTAAGGGCGGTCTCAATGTAGGTCCCACCGCAAAAGTCTCGACTTTCCATATGCCGACCGTATACTCCATGGGAAATATCCCGTACCACCACGCCGGCCGTTGAGGCTTTTTTCATCGCCATCACTGAAAACAGCAGACATTTCGTATCCAGAGATGTCCGGTCAGGGAGCTACCCTCTTCCTTGTGGTCTTTGCGCTTTTCGGCGGGATTTCAAATAGGTGAGTGCTACACATAGAACTGTCCAGTCAGCTCTGAGAGCGCGGAGTAGGTGCTCCTGGCTGCGCGTAGAGGGTGATGTAAGTGACGTGACGTGTTCGTACAACAGACCCAGGGAGGTCAGACAAGCTTTCCTTTTTGTCAAGCCAGACAACGTTTCTATACCATTGCAGGACGAAACCATATAGACTTGACTCTTGTTTAGGAGAAGATAACATTGCTTGTCTAAACATGAATTTTGCGCGCCAAGATTGAACTTGCAAACAGGAGGATGAACTTGATAACAGCAATACAGGAGGAAACTTGAATGCCAAAAGCCTAAAATCACATGGAACATGTTTTCCAGTGCTACAGGGAAATGACACGAATAGTTTCATAGTTGTCCTTGCATTGGTTTGTTATAACGACTAGAGTCTTTAAAAGCATGGAAGGTCTCACGGAAAGATAGACAAATGTCAGCGAAGGACGATGCTTTGAAAGAATTTCGATTATGTTTTTCTTGTTCACAGGAAAGCACATACACATTCCCTTATTTATTTCTTGCAAATATTTCGTTGGGAGGTCATCGTAACGCGAAGTGTGTTCACAGAAAACACTCCAGGCGTTTGGGTAAAGTTAGGATCAGTCGGAAGACCCGTGCGTTGCCAATACGAGTAACAGCCTGGTCTCTGTCCTTTTAGATGTGCGGTTCTCTATAGTTTCTCGTTCCATGTTTCATACGCACGATACGTTAGAACTGATTGCACTCGGTCTGAACGGAGGTAGCTTATTACTAGTATTTGAGATGGTATTGGAGCTGGGATGGAAGTGTACAAAATCTCTCTATATATACATAAAGTTCCTTCCAAGTCAACATGTGCCTTCACATCCATGAACTCTGCATCACGCTTCTTACTGGTACATGTATATTTACTAAAAAAAAGTGAAGGTGGAAAGGTCAACATACTTCAGTCAAGGTGAAACCATAATCATGCAATTTGTGGAAAGGGCGTGGCAGTTCAAGAGGTCATTGTAATCAAGCCAACACTAGGATTAGCAATGCAAATTGAGTTTCGAGATTGGATTGAAAGAATGATTTCTTGAAAAGTGACACAAATATAATATAGAGATAGTTCTGGAAAATTTTGATTCCCTTAACATGCATTCTAGGGGTTTCGTACGGGTTGACAAAGGACAGTTCAACTCTATCGTACGTAGGGTCCATCGTCTGTCAATGGTCAATCTCGGTGGACACGATATGAATTGTCAGCTGCATGCTCGATTTAAAAAACTAGGTGGTTCTAGAAAATGGATTTATTTGATTTCATAAACATTCTAGGAATTTCTCTATATCTCTCCATGTAAATGCACATGGAGACCGTCCATCCCGGGCCCATGATGAGCAATGCTGTATATGGCTGGGGCCTAAAGTGTTACATGAATTTCCATTGTGCCATCTACAGCTGTTTCCAACCGAGGCAAACTCTTTTTTTTAAACGGTATGAAAAACGACGAAAGGCGGCGTCAGAGACTTAATTTCCACAAAACAGGATCTGTCACGTAAAATTCAGATGTAGAAATACATCTTAACCTGACTCTTGACTTTATTGTCGCTGCTCTAGTCCCAGCCAGCGATGCTCAGTGGCGCGGTCACAATCGTCGAAGGTCGTGCAACGATTTTGATGCCGTGGTACGTAGACGTTTCAGTCAGGCAAGGGTCTAAGACAGACTTTCCCGCAACAAGACAGTTGGACTTTGCCGTACACATGCAGAACTACCCCGAGAATGTGATCCTACGATGGTTAATCTCTAAGCAGATTCTGTGGGGAAAGAGTCTACATCGGCCGCCTGTATACATTTGGGTCTGCTGGCCGCCCAGGATTTCAGGATCGGAGGCCGATAGAAACAGGCGGCCAATATAGACTTCTCTTGCCCCACGTACAGAATCTGCTCGGAGATTACTCCGCCCTCGCCACGCCTGATGAGCGAGGCTATCAAACTGAGTGATGTATTTGTGACGGATTTCTGGGTCAATGACATAATAGTGGAGATGGAGTGGTGTAATCGCCGCATCGTTCACCGATTACCGACTCGGACAATTTATGGTCACCGCGTTAATTTCGCTCTGCCTAGGGATATGAAATCAAGCGCTCGGTGTGACCTTGTCCTTAACATTGGACTTCACCTTTTTAATTCAGGTTGGAAAACTAAAAAAATGTGTTAAAGATGGAATCGCATAATCCCTACAGTGACGTAATTATAATGAAGTATTACAATAAAAAGCTGTTGGACGTAAAAAAAAGTTCGGATAAAAGGTTGTGGTCACTGTTAATTTGACCGGCTCAAGTAAGAATCAAAATCAAAATCTTACAATCTTTATTCTCCCTTTCCCTCCTCACACACAGCGTTCTGGCGCAGGGAGACGAGGAGGCTGCAAACGGCAGAGAAGAGGCGGCAGAAACACAGCCCGTCAAACTCACCGCGCTGTTCAAGGGATATGACCCGCTCATCCGCCCAAACTTCCATGGTGAGAGGACCGCGTCCTCAAATAGTCTGTTTGGGTGTTTGTTTATTCATTAGTGTTTGCTTATACATCACTATTCTTCCTACCACATCACTACAGACAACACGCAATGCTATATATACCTTAACACATACTCTTACGATCGATAGACACCGAAACCATCTTGGCATGGTTTTGTAATAAAACTCCTGTATCCTATACTCTTACAATGCATGTTACTTGTATGTACGTACACATATGTATTCATAAATCTAGACGAAGGATATACGAATGATATCCTTATTCATTGCAATCGCTATTTGCCTTTGACAATGGAATCATTGAGAAGGTTGCAATCGTTACTCCGCGTCCAGCGTTGATCTGAGGGTCATTCCATTTTTCTGCTAGGGGCATATATAAACCAGTACCTTTCCCTTTTTAATGTCTCTCTTTATAAATTGTCACAAGCGTTCATACCTACACCCCCGACAACGCTATCGGTCGACCTGTTCGCTAACTTCTCAAACAGACCGAACATACGACCTGTTGTTTTACCGGTTCGCCCGCCAGCGATATCGAATGTGAGAAACTAATTCTGCATTCTGCGCAGCGAGCCAGGAGTGCAAATGACGCATTCTCTTCCGGCCGAATGTTTGACTCTTTGGAAACCGGTTCGAGAACCTGCGAAAGATGCAAACTGGCCGTGACTTTGATAGACGCTGATGACCCCTGGTCCTGGAGGGGTCAGCAGGAGAAGGGACACGGCAAGAAAAATTGATTCTTGTTTCTTTAATCCACGACAGCGTTGGTCAGTTACAAAACGCCATCTCAGGGTAGGCAGCTTGTACATGTAATGGGCACATAGTCTATCCTACTCTCAAAAAAGTTTAATATGTCAGAAAATAAGACAATAGCAACTGTGTTGGTCAGTTACAAAGCGCCATCTCAAAGTCTATCTTATTGTCAAAAAAGACTGAAATGTATGACAGAAAATAAGAAAGAGGCAGATGAGTGAGTGGGGTATACATCATGGCAAGAATCACAGTATAATTTTACATGCTAATTACCTTCGCCAAGAAGGTTATGTTTTCAGTAGCGTTTGTCTGTCTGTCTGTCTGTTTGTTTGTTTGTGAACAGCATAACTCAAGAAGCTTAATATGCATTGTCATGAAACTTGGTAGGTTGGTAGGTCTTGATGAGACCTAGAAATGATTAGATTCTGGGCCCCCTACCGGCTTTTGTTGGTACTGCAGCAGAACTTCCGGTTTTGATATCTCGCGATCTGGACATGCTAGTGTCACGAATTTTGGTTGGTAGATAGCTCTTGGGGTA